TCTTCCTCTTCTTTTTTTCGAGTGCACGTTTGGCGCTTACATCAGGAAACCTTTGAGAACCAGCCCAGGTTTTTTCAATTTCCACTTCACTTCATTGACAGCGAAAAAGTGTGGCACTTTCTCGGAACTGTTCTCTATTGAGCTTCTCATCTGATGAAAACACATTCCACATATGGGCGAAGTCACTCGAACCACTGCTCCTTTCATCTGAGCTCTTTCCATGAAATCCTAATGGTTTCCTTGCAAGAAAGGGGCATTAATGAGGGAAGCCTCACCCAAGCTGGTCTGCCCAGATAGTCTTGTTCGCTGCGGATGCTGGGGCGTGTCAGGGAGAACCGGCTACGACGCGGCGCCAGTCGCTTTTCCAGCATTTGTGGAAGCTGGTAAGCGACCACAACTGTTGAAGAACGGGTTGGTGCCGCGCCAACCGCAGCCTCCTGATGCGCTCCAGGATCCGCAATGAAAATGACTGTACAGTCGACATGGAGTGTGCCTTCAAAATTGGGGTATCCTCCCTCCTTACAAGCTACAGTATCCTAGAAGAAGTAGAGCACTAAAAATCATCACTTGGTGTTATTTAATTACTACCCAAGTAAAAGTAACGATGAAAGTAAACAGCTATGACACTTTGCATCTTATCCAAGTATATCAGATTATCAACAAATTGCACCTTAATACATACTTCTGAACGAGAAAATCTAAGAGTAAACAAACGAGTTTAGTGTGCTGGTAGCACTTCATCTATGAGACGGGACAAACGACGAGCTTGAAGCCATTAAAACATGACAATCGACAGAACATCAAGGATCGTCCCTTCTCGGAACAAGTGAATCCACCAGGTATTCTAGAAGCTTCAGGGACTCCTCTACCGCTTGCTGCGTCGCAATAGTGAACTTTTATTGGTTGACCGAAGCGTGAAACCGAGCCAAGTAGAGACGAAACCGACGGCCGAAGAACGACGGGTCGGCGGTGTTCTCAGTGCTAAATTATGAACAAATCAGTATCAAAAAAGAAGTAGAAAAGCCACTAAATTTTGATTAACACGAGATCATTCACGAGATTGATGAATAGCCACATTCTGAAGAACACCCGCCATAGGTCTAATTGCATGTATTGCCCTTCAACCCCTAATTGGTGTAACAGTTCATGGAAAATATCGGCACCGAAAACAGCTGAATGATTATGAAACCGGTTTCGGACGTCGCGCACACGCTCCTGCCTGATCAGATTCAAACGCATTCAGTCACATGTTCGAAAATAATACCAGCACCAAGCAGTGCTACCTTCAATCAATTTCTTACTTCCAGTAGACTAGTTCTCTACCCCCACCCTATAGGGACGAAGCCCGGGTGAGTGACAAGACAATCGTAATTCGCCGCAACGTTGGGCGCCGCGTGCGACGTCGCGCCCACTGATATACTGTTCTGCGTTCGAACGTGGCGACAAGAGATAACGCGTAATCAAAAAAATAGTCCTAAATGTCTACGATGTCGTAGTATATATGAATTCTTATGCCCCAATTGACAAGCTAATGCAAAGTAAGAAAATACCGTGCCCGCTGCCGCGCGCGAGAAAGCGACAAATTACGATTGTATTGACCGTCTCGCAACGAGTGCACGTCGTATGTCGTGTGATAACCAACCGCTGTCTGGAGAGGGGGAAGTACTCGGTCCGAGATTTTCTTTTCGATTTACCAGCGATGTAAACTGCTTTTTCTGCTGATGTTCGGAAAGTCTATCCCCATTTCGCCGGCCTTGACAGCAAAGTTTCGGGAGCAAAATCCGGAAAGGGTGGCGAATAGGAATGTGCAGAGGTCATAGCCAGAAGTGGAGTTTCGAGAGAGGGGAATGCCGTATTTTCAATCCTCCTAAAACGAAAGAATGAAGACGTTGGACGTGCGTTCAAAAGGACAAAAAGTTCGTAAATCCACCTGGAAAGTCCCCCCCCCCCCGCCTTCCCTATCCTCCCGAGATAAAAGTTATCCTACAACTCACGCTTTCCTATTAACCACGAGAAGAAATTGGCAGGAGTCAACGTGCGAGTCTTCCACGACTTCTTCTACTGCTCTGATGACATCAGGAAACCTCTCAGGAGCGCTACTATCAACAACAAGATGATTGCTGAAACAGATCTTCAACTTGACCACTTTTAAATTTTCGAAAGCACTAGATTCGCCATACCTTGAGCATTAGAATGATAGTGTTTCCACACACTACGAGAACGATTCAGTCCGCTGACATCCCACAGATGAAGTCGGAAATTCTTGTAGTGTATTGAGTCCACTGTGAAGCTGCAAGAGAAGGGATTGGAGTGTGGACTTGAATCCTTTTTTTTCAGTAGATAGTTTGTTCGCAGCGAGGGCTGGCTGTGTCCCAGTAGGGGAGTGGCCTGAAATTTGGCGCGGCGCCAGACTATTCATCAACATTTGTTGAAGAAGGCAAGCGATAACAACATATGGAAAATGGGCTGGCGCGCCAAACCCAGCCTCTCCTCCTCTGCCCCAGCATCCGCAGTGAACAAGGCCTAAGTAGAAGGAGAAGACGATTAGGGGAGCAACAGAAAGGAAGACAAGGACATGCCCTTGTATGCTTGTATACGCACTCTCAACGAGACAATATTCACCCAGTGTCCCCTCCCCCCTCTCCTCTCCTTCCCACTTAACATTAAGAGTGCATAGGAACAAAAAAGGACAGAAGGGTAGTGTGAACCGATTATCTCCATCCCCCCTGGCAAATTACTTTTACTCCTTACTTTACCCTGGGTATTCCTCTGGAGGCGCTTGAAGCCACGTTCATAAGGCAAAGAGTTTCTTTCAATCTACAGTATTCACTGAATAGTCACACCATCCCCGACGCCGTACAGAATCCTGAGTCGATATTCCTGGTGAACCAGGCTATAAGACGAAGTGCTCTACTTGTACACCTCGAGGGCCATGAAGGAGCAAAAGTCGGGGCTATTCGGATTGGGAGGGACATTATGCGTATCGCTAGTTCCTTTTGCTAGTTCATGTTAACTAACACGCCTCATTTTGGTGTAAACTGTGAACACTTGTGAAGCTGAGAAATTGTACCGGTGAGCCACTTTGGTTACAAGAATTAGCCGGTACACAAGGTGGCTTATACAAGCTTCGCTGAGTAGTATTTGGTCCACCTTCCCCCTTAGCCGAACTGAGCCCAAAAATCCATAGAGAAATTTCCTGGAGAACTGTGATAAAGTTACTCTTCAATGTGAAACGATAAAAGGAAATTATAATAAATAATAAAGTAAATCTATAAACAGTACCCATTCGTTGGCGAAATGTCAGGAACATGAGGAGCTTTCATAAGAGCTCGAAGAAGAGTGGTTTTTCCGGCTCCTTCTAATCCCAGCAGAACCACTCGCGCATCCTCGTAATGGCCAAGATGTAACTGATTGGAGCGTGATATGGAGTACGGGATGAGTGTTGAGATGAGTGATTCTTCTGAAAAGTCATAATTCATAAATTAAAAATCATAGGAGGAGGGCAATAAAAATGCTTCACCTGGGGAGCGAACTACATCAGCTTTAGCAGATTCAGCAAGCGCTAACAAGTCATTCCTTCGTTCCACAAGTTGGGTCCGATCCAGTACCAGAACTCCGCTGCAGCTCCGACGACGTGGAGTTTAGCTAAAGCGCTTCTCTAGGCTGATAGAAGAAGACAGTTTCTCAACCGGAACAAGTCCAGGGCTATGGGACATTTAAAGAACTCTCAATGCAAAAGTGAGGTTACTGTAATGCCACAGTCCTTCTCCCCAGCCACCCAGAGCTCCTACGTGCCTAGGACTGGGCAAAAAATTGTCGCGTCTGTTACAACTATCCCAGTTTTGCACAGTAAGTCCTTTAATGCCCATACCTAAGGGACTGTCACCCTAAACGTAAAAGACGTATCAGTACCCGATTGGAGGCACTATCCATTTGTTCAATCTGCAGATTCAAAGCAGCAACTCGTGCATTTACATGGGATGTCAGCGTATTCAGTGCTGCCTCCTCATCACAATTTAGCGGTTGAAGTGAGCACGTACCTTTAATTTTCATATTAACCGTAGAGATAATACACAGAAGGGTTCAAGGTTCAACAAGAAAACAAAAAACCAAAAACAAAAATTGAAATGGTGTTGGCGCAGTCGGCTTCAGGGGGGAGGGCGGAGGGGTTGGGCAGTACCCACTTTCGCATTTCTTTCGCTACTTCCTTTCAAAATACACATCCTCCATGAGTGACCTTTCGTCAAGTTATTTTAATGTAAAGCTTCTGCGATTCTCATACTTAAAGGCACAGTTCGCGACCGCAAATTGCGGGAAACGGAACTCAAATAGGCACAAAAAGTGCTAAGTATCTGATTAGCGGAGAAAAGCAGCAGAAAAAGCAGTCCGAAATGTTATAGAGAAAGATAACATAGTGGCTACTAGCTAGTAGCTAGCAGCCGGTGAGGGTCGGCATGGGCCTAAGGGGTGTCCATGGGCCTAATTAGTCAGCTTCTAGCGGAGTTCTTGCCGTTTTTCACATTTTGAAAGTAGCGCAGCCTCAAAAATCGCCTTCCGGATCGTCCGACACATTTGAGAGGTCATAGCCTTATTTTATCGCGGAATGTGCCTTTAGGTGGAATTCGTAGGTCTCCACAAGGTGGATCAAGAGTGATCGATGTAGGCCAGCAAAGTGCCCATACAAAACCAAACTGCGCCAAAATTCCACCTAATTATATAAAAAAATACTATTCACTAAAGTGCAGAAGCCTGTCAACAAAACAGAGATTGAAGTATAAGGTCGCCACTCTAAACGTTCATGAAGGAAAAAGAAGAAACCAATCTTCTCTAGTATGGATTACCTGCGACAGAGCTTCCCCGAATGGGCCCCGTTCTCTGTTTGATAACTCAGCGGCCACTCTGAAATGCAGCATATTCGTAATGCCTCAGCCACAAATCCCGAAATGAGAGACAGCTCTTGGAACAAATAAAAATGAATAAAGCCTTCACCGTTTTTTGTTTACCCTTTTTTGGATGCGACGCACTCTATTTCTATCCATTGCAGCAGTGGTATATTGATGTGACCTATACGACCTTGACGGGCCAATCGATTTGAAGGTCAGTCAAATCTGGTACCAATTTACCGTCCCCGAGGGTAAAGGCTTTATTGATCTGGGCAGTCAGTAGCCGACCGGTGTCCGGCCCCTGGACTGAGCGCGTGGTAAGCGTGCCACTCGCCACTAAAGCAACCCTTTCGCTTCAAAATATATACAAATTAATTCCACTCGATCTTGAAGGGTAATGAAAAAGGAGCTCTGAACCAGTGAAGTAGCGAAAGTGAAAAATGCCATCTTCGCTGAAGTGCGCCGAGCACGTCTTTAAATCATTAGGCGGCTATGGGTAAAAAATGGCGCTACGGGATCTATATGTTACCTGTGTCGCAACCCTATTTCAGCCATATCGAACTTAGTAGAATGTAAAATATCAAGAGTAGAAAATAAAGTAGTACGAGAACCGCTGCCCATGTAAATAAACAAAATCATACGATTGCATTCGTCGCCTCCACGAATCGACCTTTGTTAGCGATTTAGAGAGTTCTGATATGGATTCCTGCAGTTTCTCACGGAGCTCGTCTGTCTCACGCTTCAATAAGCACATGGGCATGTCCCTGAAATGCAAGTGAAGAATGTTTATGAGGACGCTGCGAAGAGAAACATTAGAGCTGTGCTTAATGAGATGTAAATAACGAAAAAATAGGAAAGAGTGATATAAATTTCAGGCGCAGTTCGGCGACGGGGGGGGGGAGGGAAGGGGGGCATTTTGCACTTTTTCTACTTTAGAAGCTTTGTGGAACCTTGTGAAGCCATAATCGACACACGTCGAAGTTTGTAGAGACTGCTGTTTATTTCTGTGGAGCAATTATGTACCACACAAATGCCGTTTACCATGATGGCGACGAGCCCGCTTCAGCTTCGCAACAGTTCACAGGTAGCATCAGGGTGACTTCGGAACTAGTGAAGAAGTTAAAGTGCAAAATGACCCCCTGCAACCACCCCCCCCTCCCCCCCGTCGTCGAACTGCGTTCCAAATTCTTAAATGACTACTTACCTTGTGAGCTCCGTAGTCTCTGCAGAAGACGCACATCAACCTGCTATCCTTACTGCAACCCTCTTCCTGGAAATACATTCAAGTCTTTCTCTAGTGCAATAATAGTAACTTCTATTGTTCATAACAGAAAGCAAAAATGAATTTCTCGACAAAAAAAGGGGACATGGCTACATTAGGCCGATGGTATTCGAAAAGAAAAACAGAAGCAACTTTCCAATCCGCGCTAATTCGTAGGCTGGTGCCAGACCAGCCCCTACTCGTTTCCTTGTGTGATCGCTATTTGCTTAACTAGCTATAAGTAACAGGAAAACTGGCAACTCACCTCCTGCAGCAGCATGATAGAGGGCGACCTTGGCAGAGTGATAGAGCAGGGTCCCCTCCGCCCCCACCCACTCCAATTTTCCTTCTCGGCTGCTTGCGGCTTGCTTGCTTGCTAGTTTTCAGAGAATGATGACTATCTCAGGTGATTTGGTCATCCATGAGACACGCGATGCGGTGTCATATTCCTCCCGTCAGAAATACTAGTACCATTCAGGGACAGGGATTTCATCAACAGCTGTCAGAAACCTCCGATTTTTTAGGTGACCATGAGTAGCTCGTTAACTAGAATACTTATCCTGGAAAAAGAGGAGGCTCACCTTACACACGAATTCTATGGGATACGAGCTGTGTATTCGACAGTTGGCCGTTGAAGCTGGCTTTTCACTGAGTGGAATCCGTCGATGTTTCGAGAGAACGTTTGTATCATGCGAACTATTCGAACACCTTCATCCGTGAACTATTCGAACACCTGTAATTCTCTAAGATTGAGTCGAATGCGAAGATCATTTTGAAGCCATACTAGGTAGGGAAATTTGGCCATTGGCACATTTTTAGTCATCCTCAATATGAAACTCTGAGAAAAGAAAGCTTCCTCCTTGCACGGTGTAACGCAGTGTTCATGGTAGTTGATGAGAGAATAAGAGAGTCGACGAAATGAGGTTTTGGGAAATGCGCGCCAAAAGCGCGAATGGGTAACAATCGGCGCCGGTTGCACGACTCAATTTTTAAAGACATATGCATTGGCAAAACGTCGAGTGGCCGATTCTTTTATTGTTCCGTCGCTAAGTATCCATGCAACATAACAATTCTGAAGGATTCACAAATGACAATTCATCACTATAATTTAATTAATTACCTCTCGCATAGGTGACTTTCACAAACGGTGCAGAAAAGTACGGCAGTATGACAGGGATCTTCATCGCAGTCAATATACCAAGCAAGCGATCTCGAGCATACCGATCCACCTATATATTTTACTAATTTTTCATGTATTTCGATGAACTGTCTATCATGACATTGATAGCTTATCTGGAAACATTCTAAACGCTCAATAGTACCTGTGCCGGACTTGAAAGTCAGAATCCACGATAGAAAACATAAGTATTATGATGAACATCAAAATGCCAACAGATTGGAGTCAATTAGGCGCTAACGATTGGGAACCATTCTTCAAAAAAGGCCCAGGCTTAGAGCGCAGACAACCAGACTTGTCGAGGGACTTCGCTCAGAGAAGACATACTCTTCACTAGCCGACTTGATTAGAGTAAGAGATACAGAGGCTTTGACTAGTAGTCCACCACCCCCTTCCAACACCCACCTCAACTACGTCAGGGCTGTCAACCATTTAGTTCAAGGTCGACCCTGGTCGAAAACTTGCCAGATAGGAGGTCTAGAAATGCATTTTGCTGTGACGCTCGACAAATAGCTAGCACCTTCGACAAACATGGAGCTCACCTCTCCTGAATTCGCTTGCTGTATTTTCTCTATGAGCTCCAACAAAGCAAAATTTTTCTTGAGATTGCGTACTTCTCCTTCAAAAAAACATATTCGTACTTAAAATATGTTATCAAGGTGAGATCGCGTTCACACCTCGCGACCTGATCGTTTGGATCGCGCAAGCGAGCGAGTCGTGAAGTCTGAACGCACACAAAGCCACAAAACGACACCTACCGCTAGCTATAGGAGTGGAAACTCTGTCAAACGGACAAACAATATACGATACCCCTGGCTTACAGATAGACTGAGCACATCCTTGGCATATTGTATGCCCGCAGCCTGAACAAAAATAGAATTGTTAACAAAATTTGTGCGTTTACTGTTACTATACTACCTGTGAGCACTCTGGGTGTACGCTTTTCATCCAATGATGAATACTCCTCGTTACAAACATTGCAACCGTACTCGCCCATTCCCTGATGAAACGAATAGTTACGTTAGGAAACTACTTAAGGACCACAACTTTGGCAGGAAAGCATACTACGCGGTCAGATGGTCAATGAGGCCTTAACTTGTTTAGGGGAGGAAGGAGTGTAGGACAAGGTTCGCTTCGCCACGTCTGATGCTTCAAGCAGTTAAGGGGGGGGGCGCAAACGTAGCATAATCGCCGGAATTACAACAGGGCTAAAACGTTACGTAAGCCAGGTGCACTCCCCCCCCCACCCCCTCTCTTCCCTCTGCCTGCGATTTGCAATGCGTGAAGAAAACGATGGTGAAGACCCTGCATACATCATATAATATGTCGTTCCTACGACATAGTACCATAGTGCGAAGCGGCAGTGACAAAATAAGTATAGCAAGTACAGTCTCGTTCGCTGCGGATGAAGGGGCGTGTCAGGAAGCTGGTTTTGGCGCATCGTCAGTTCTTGAAACGAATGATGGAAAACAACAGATAAGGACGATATGGTACAGGCTTGTCGCCTGCTCGCTTCAACAACTGATGGAAAACGGGCTTGGCACCTTGCCAACTCATTCCGCAATACACGCCCCCCCCACAGGGAACGACACTGTACCGCACTACTTACATCATGCGCCGTTGTCCAGTGAATCATGTTAAATGAGGTATGGATGAGGAAGGGTTGTCGCTAATGAATGACACCCGTTTACGTGCCGCCCACAGTGGAGAAATTTATTGCCTGCCACATCCAGTGGGCCATAACCATTAAACCGTGTTTTATTTACAGAACGAATCTACGGATGCAAAACAGAACCAATTAATGAGAAAAATCACGAACCAAAACAGCGTAGGGGAAAACCTGGGAACAGTCCGGCACATTATAGGGTTACGGGGCACTTGTCAACCAGACGTGCTCTCGCTGCGAGGGTCCAGGGTATTTTCTCGAGGCATCTACCAGTCCAGTAGTTGAAGGGAGAAGGTAAAGGAGGAGGGATCAGAGAAGGGAGGAAGGAAAAGAAGGAAGGAGGAAGAAAAAAGGAAAGAGAAGAGAGGGGCTTGCAATCGCGCACAAACTAGCAGTTTCTTAGCTAGTTGACTTGAACGCACGCTGCCACGTTGAATTAATTAGATCCTGGAGCGAAAGACGATCTTTGCAACGCTTCTTCCGCCCTCGCGACACCCGTAGTGTGCGGAACTACACCCAAAAAGTGAGTTCTTGCCATATCTTCTAGTGCTAAGTGCTCTCTCGGCTCAGCCTAGATGGAAATAAGCATCAGAACTCTCCAAACTTAAAATCAAAGTCAGGAACTCCCAGACAGCCTCACTCCAATGGATGGCT